TCGATGGACGTGTCTGGGTTTGGCGGTGGCCAGGAGAACGGTACTTACCTGACTGCATTGTGCCAAGTGTAAAGCTTGGTGGAGGGGCATTATGGTGTGAGGTTGTTTTTTAGGGTTGGACTTGGCCCCTTAGTTCCAGTGAAGGGAACTCTTAAGGTGTCAGCATACCAAGACATTTTGGGCAATTTCATGCTCCCAACTTTGTGGGAACAATTTGGGGATGGCCCCTTCCTGTTCCAACATGACTGCACACCAGTGCACAAAGCAAGGTCCATAAAGACATGGAGGAGCGAGTTTGGGGTGGAGGAACTTGACTGGCCTGCCCAGAGTCCTGACCTCAACCCTGTAGAACACCTTTAGGATGAATTAGAGTGGAGACTGCAAGCCAGGCCTTCTCATCCGACATCAGTGCCTGACCTCACAAATGTGCTTCTGGAAGAATGGTCAAACCTTCCCATAGACACCCTCCTAAACCTTGTGGACGGCCTTCCCAGAAGAGTTGAAGCTGTTATAGCTGCAAAGGGCGGGACAACTCAATATTGAACCCTACGGACTAAGACTGCAATGCAGTAAAGTTCATGTGTGTGTAAAGGCAGGCGTCCCAATAATTTGGCAACAGTATATTTCAGTGTAAACTGTTTAAATCTATGCAACTTGAGCAAAACTTCACCCCAAACAGGAAGTTCCACTGTGCCTCCTAATTCCCCCTTCCTCTGTCAAAATTGTCATATTATTTTGGAGGGGGTGGGGGGGAGGAGCGGGTACCTAGATTTGACAGGTACCTGCTCCCAATTCTGCTCTGACCTAGGCCATCAAAGCTGAAGTTTGCGCCCCCCCCCACCCATCTCTCTGCAGCCTCTTGGGACACATCACAGGTCCCAAGAGACTGCAGGACCTTTAACAAGGCTTGCTCATGCACAGTAGCCAGCTGGCTGTGAAGTCACAGTTGGCTGCCCACAGTTAAGAGGCCAGGGACTGAACAAATCTGGTTGATTATGCACCGTGCTGGATCCCTGAACAGGTGAGTGGCTGTTTTTTTTTTTTTTTTTTTTTTTGCAAGTACAGTTTTTTTTTAGCTGCTGACTTTTAATTTTCACACAGCAGACTGAAGAACAGCTTTAAAGTTGCAGCAGTGGTTCACACTGAATGCGACTTTGAAATCGTGCTACTTCAGCTAAAGCAGTGCAATTTTAAAGCTGCTAGTCGTGCGATTTCATGTGTGGCTTGCCTACTTCTGTACGACTTCATGCACAGATGTCAATGCAAGTCGCACATGAAATCGGCAAAAATAGTGCAGGAACCTTTTTTAAAAATCAATTTTGGGATAGGATATGCTGCTACTAAGAGGCAACAACCCTATATATACTGCTCAAAAAAATTAAAGGAACACTTTGAAAACACACCAGATCTAAATTAGAAAAAATCTCCTGCTGAATCTCTATACTGATATGGACTGGGTAATGTGTTAGGTTAGGAGCGTAAGGATGGAATGAAATGAAATTATCAACATACAGAGGACTGAATTCAAAGACATCCCGAAAATCAAAGTGAAAAAATGATGCAGTAGGCTAGTCCATTTTGCTGAAATTTCATTGCAGCAACTCAAAATGGTCCTCAGTAGTTTGTATGGCCCCCACGTGCTTGTATGCATGCCTGACAACGTCGGGGCATGCTCCTAATCAGACGACGGATGGTGTCCTGGGGTATTTCCTCCCAGATCTGGACCAGGGCATCACTGAGCTCCTGGACATTCTGAGGTGCAACCTGGCGGTGTCGGACAGAAACATATCCCAGAAGTGTTCTATTGGATTTAGGTCAGGTAAGTGTGGAGGCCATTCAATGGTATCAATTCCTTCATCTTCCAGGAACTGCCTGCATACTCTCTCTCACCACATGAGGCCGGGTATTGTCGCGCACCAGGAGGAGCCCGGACCCACTGCACCAGCGTAGGGTCTGACAACGGGTCCACGGATTTCATCCCGATACCTATAGGCAGTCAGGGTGCCATTGCCTAGCCTGTAGAGGTCTGTGTATCCCTCCATTGGATATGCCTCCCCAGACCATCACTGACCCACCACCAAAACGGTCATGCTGAACGATGTTATAGGCAACAGAATATTCTCCACGGCTTTCTCCAGACCTTTTCACATCTATCACGTGCTCAGGGTGAACCTGCCCTCATCTGTGAAAAGCACAGGGTGCCAGTGGCGGACCTGCTAATTCTGGTGTTCAATGGCAAATGCCAATTGAGCTCTATGGGGCCGGGCAGTGAGCACAGGGCCCACTAGAGGACGTCGGGCCCTCAGGCCACCCTCATGGAGTCTGTTTCTGATTGTTTGGTCAAAGACATTCACTCCAGTGGCCTGCTGGAGGTCATTTTGTAGGGCTCTGGCAGTGCTCATCCTGTTCCTCCTTGCACAAAGGAGCAGATACCGGTCCTGCTGATGGGTTAAGGGACCTTCTATGGCCATGTCCAGCTGTCCTAGAGTAACTGCCTGTCTCCTGGAATCTCCTCCATGCTCTGGAGACTGGCAATGGCAAGTATTGATGTGCCATCCTGGAGGAGTTGGACTGCCTGTGCAACCTCTGTAGGGTCCAGGTATGCCTCATGCTACCAATAGTGACACTGACCCTAGCCAAATGCAAAACTATTTATTTCAGGTACTTATATAGCACCGTCAATTTATGCAGCGCTTTACATATATATTGTACATTTACATCAGTCCCTAACCCTCAAGGGGTGTACAATCTAAGGTCCCTAACTTACATTCATACATACACATACTAGGGCCAATTTAGACAGGATCCAATTAACCTACCAGCATGTCTTTGGAGTGTGGGAGGAAACCGGAGTACCCAGAGGCAACCCACGCAGGCACAGAGAGACCATGCAAAATCCAGGCAGGAGGTGCTGTGGCTGGGATTTGACCCAATGACCCTAGTACTGCCAGGCGGAAGTGTTAACTATTTAGCCACTGTGCTGCCCAAAACATGTGAAAAACCATCAGAAAAGATGAGTAGGGAAAAAAATGTCAGTGGCCTCCACCTGTAAAACTATTCCTGTTTTGGGGGTCGTCTCACTGTTGCCCATATAGTGCATCTGTTGTTAATTTCATTAATACCAAAGCAGCTGAAACTGATTAAACAACCCCCTCTGCTACTTAACTGACCAGATCAATATCCCAGGAGTTTAACTTGATGCTATACTGATTAAAAAGTGTTCCTTTAATTTTTTTTAGTAGTGTATATGTAACGTATGTGGTGGTGGAGCCTGAAGCGCTGGGGAAGGCCTCTCTTACAGCTCTGGCTCGGGAGCCCTGGTAAAGTGACAGCACCGGAGGGTACTGGTGGCAGGTACTAGTGTGCATCGGGAACGCAGAGATAGCAGAACTGCTACCCCCAGGCTGAAGGACTGGAGCCAGGGAAGAGTGCAGACTGGCTTGGCACTGGAGCAGGATGGCAGCGAGACATGGTCAGACAGTCCAGGTCGGCAACTGGCGAGCAGATCGGGTTCAGACGGCAGTCAGGAGACAGGCCAACAGCAGGAAGGATGAACAGAAGGAGCAGGCAGAGTGTAGTCCAGAGACAAGCCAGGGGTTGGTACAGGTGGCCGTCAACCAGAGTCAGAGGCAGACCAAGTCGGCAACAGAAGATCAATCAGGAACAGATAGCAGGAACACAATAGACCAAACGGCACTGATCCACTGCACTAGTGTAGTTTACATGGCCCTCCTAGCACCAATGTGCGCTTGTGCATGCGCACCCATGATCTGGCCATGGTCAGAGTTCCCCAATCCTGGGTGTGTGTACACGGATATTCCTTTCCTGACAATATATACAACAATCAAGAATACCCTGGACGGAGTGGGACATTTGAAGCTACATCAATAAACATTTTTTGTAAATATAAAAATTCCAAGATATTTAACTGCTTAAGGACCGCCCTATAGCAGATATACTGCAACAGGGCAGCAGCTGTGCGCAGAATCACGTATATATACTTGATTTTGAATTTCCAGGTAGGGGGTGCGCACAAGCCCTACCCCGCGCCGTCATTTGCGGCTGCGGATGTCAATCACCGGGTCCCGGCTGGTAATTACCGGCTGGCTCCCTGTTATTACCGAGCATCTCCGATGGCGAAGAAGATTGTTTTGTTTACAAACAATCTTCCGCTCTGTCAGATCGAGCACATTGCTCGGGATGGCTGTGCACAGTACAGCCATCCCGATCAGTGTGCTTACAGTGAAGAACACCCACCCCCTAGTAAAAAAAACATTCAGCACACAGTTAACCCTTTTATCGCCCCTGACATTAGCCCCTTCCTGCCCAGTGCCATTAGTACAGTGTCAGTGCTTTTTATTAGCACTGATTACTGTATTTGTGTCACTGGGGATGTCAGTGACACTTACATCAGTTCCCCCCCCAGTGTCAGAATGTCTTCTGCAGTCCCGCTATAAATCGCTGATCGCCACCATTACTAGTAGAAAAAAAAAATTCCAGTATATATACCGCCATTTGTAAACGCTATAACTTTCACATAAACCAATTAATTTACACATATTGGGATCTTTTTTTTAGCATAGACATGGAGCAGAAGAAATTTTGGCCTAAATTTATGATGAAATTTGATTTAAAACATTTTTTTTACTGGACATGTTTATTAGCAAAAAGTCCAAAATATTGTTTTTTTTCTCAAAATTGTTGGTCTTATAGTGCAAAAAATAAAAAGTGCACAGGTGATCAAATACCACCGAAAGAAATCTGTTTGTGGGGAAAAAGAGGACGTAAATGTCATTTGGGTGCAGCGTTGCATGACCGTGCAATTGTCAGTTAAAGTAACGCAGCGCCGTAACGCAAACAATGACCTGGTCATGAAGGGGGGTAAATCCTCAGAAGGGCAAGTGGTTAAAACAGAAGATTAAAAATAGCAGTTAAAAGAACCAGGGACATCCAAAAATGCAGCTACAAACAATATTTATACATATGCATTACTACACAGCAGGGGCGGACTGATCATTTGGAAACTCGGGCACTGCCCAAGGGCCTGGGGTCAGTAGGGGGCCCCATGAGATGCTCCTGGTACCTTTTTCATAGGCTGTTTTGAGTTTGGGCAAGGACACAGGGGCCCCATGATCCCCTATTGTCCGGGGGCCCCATGAGTTGTCAGTCCGCCCCTGCTTTGGAGTCGCACAAGTGTAAATGGAGCCTAAATCAATGGACTTCGTTTCGCACATGTGTTCCCTATATCGACCAATCAGAAGCCATCTGTCATTTTGCACAGATGTGTGAGTTTAATGTGAGAACACAGACCCTTTCTTATATATTTTCTCCATTTGCCTGTTTCTCTTTGATGTCCCTTTCATTGTCCAGGTTCCAGAAGGTGGCATAACAAGACAACAGAACGCCCGGCGCTGTATTACTGCGAGCCTTCCATTACTGAGTCTTATCTGCCGCCTCTCCAGACTCATGAATCATGGATATAATTGGTGTGCAGTTCATTTAAAGGGAGATCATTCTCCGAACGGCGTTGTTTGTTAAGCGGGAGGGATGGGAAAACAGATTTGTGAAAGGTGCAGAATTGGAAAATTAATGAACGCCGGAATGTTTGGCTCCTTCATCTCATTGAAATGCAGCTCAAAACTCCGAGAGATCACATGACCCGGAATTATCAATACCTCCTCCTAATGAATTGTGTAGCCCTGGAGGAAGGGCTGCCTTGGTCAGAGCATCTTCTCTCCAAATGTCATTTTTGTAGAACATTTTTTTTTTTCATTAACACCTTGCCCTCCAGAGGATTCCCCCCCCCCCCCCCCTCTTCCTGACCGGACCGTTTTTTGCATTGCGGCGCTGTGTTAATTTAACTGACAATTGAGCGGTCATGCAACCATTCACCCAAATTAAATTTACGCTCTTTTTTTCCCCACAAATTGAGCTTTATTTCGGTGGTATTTGATCGTCGGTGCGGTTTTTATTTTTTGCGCTATAAAAAAAAAAAAGCGACAATTTTGAGAAAAAAAAACAATATGTTTGACTTTTTGCTATTAACCATTTGAATACCGGGCAATTTTACCCCTTCCTGCCCAGGCCATTTTCCAGGTTTCAGCGCTCTCACACTTTGAATGACAATTGCGCGGTCATACAACATTGTACCCAAACTAAAATTTTATCATTTTCTTCACACAACTAGAGCTTTCTTTTGGTGGTATTTAATCATCGCTGGGGTTATTTTTTGCTAAATTAACAAAAAAGACCAAAAATTTTGAAAAAAAAAACCACGTTTTTCTTTGTTCCTGTTATAAAAGTTTGCAAATAAATAATTGTTCTTCATAAATTTAGGCCGAGATGTATTCTGCTACATGTCTTTGGTGAAAATAACCCAAATTAGGATGTATTATTTAGTTTGTAGGAAAGTTATAGAGTTCACAAACTATGGTATAGATCTGAAAATTGATCAATCCTGAAGTACTGACAGCCAATCTCATTTCTTGAGGTCCCAGAATGTCAGAACAGTACAGATATCCCCCAAATGACCCCTTTTTGCAGAGTAGACAGTCCGACGTACTTCATAAGAGGCATGGCGAGTTTTTTGAAGTTGTATTTTTTTTGTCATAATTTTTTGGAAAATGAAAAAATGCAAAAAATTATTTTCACTATTTTTTTTTTATATACTGTCACCAGTGCAGTACACCGTCATCATATAACTGGCATGGCGGTGATCAGGGACACTGACTGGTGACAGTATGAAAAAAAAAATATATATTTTTTTTTTATTTTTTTTTTTTTTTTATTTTTAATTTTTTATTACTTTTTTTTCTTTTTTTTAAGATTTTTTTTTCATATTTCACTATGTCCAAAGTAGTACTATGTTACCATAGTAACATTGTATTACTTTGGGGAAGTGATCAGTATTTGTTTTTTTTTTTTTACACAATTTGCTTATAGCAAAGAATTACTTTGCTATAAGTAAGCATTTACCTGAATGACATCGATTCATTCAGGGTTTTTTTTTTTTTTTTTTTTTTTTGTGCTTAGCTGTGATTTGGCCACAGCTAATCACATGACATGTGCATGTGATTAGCTGTGACCATTCACAGCTAGGCAGTAGTATACAATGGATGGCATGAATGAAGCCATCCATTGTATACAACTGTCATGTGACCTGCTGTGATTGGTCACAGCAGGTCACATGGTACCGGCAACGGGAGCCGGTACTCAGATCTGTCATCGGCCGTGTCCGAGGTACACGGCCGGTGACAGATCGCTCTGCAAGCCGAAAAGTGTGCATGTGCGGGAGGACGCCACTTGGCGTTCAACCCGGAAATCCAATACATTTTTCCGGCCGCCTTTTGGCTATTCGCTGGGCGTGTATTGGTTAAACATGTCCAGTAAAAAAATTTAAAAAATCAAATTTCGTCATAAATTTAGGCCAAAATGTATTCTGCTCCATGTATTTGTTAAAAAAAAATCCCAATACGTGTAAAATACGTGTAAATTAATTGATTTACGTGAAAGCTATAATGTTTTCAAATGGCGGTATAGATACTGGAATTTGTTTAAAATTTTTTATTTTTAGTAGTGATGGCGGAGATCAGCGACTTATAGCAAGGCTGCGGCGGGCATTCTGACACTGGGGGGAACTAACTTGGTGTCACTGACATCCCCAGTGACACAAAAAAAAAGCACTGACACTGTACTAATGGTACTGAGCAGGAAGGGGTTAACATCTGGGGACATCAAAGGGTTAACTGTGTGCTGTGTGTGTGTGCTTTACTGTAATCACACTGCTTTCCAAAGCAGTGTGCAGGAGCTGAGAGGGAGGAGAACTGTATTGTATACATACAGTTCTCCCCGTCAGAGATGCTCGGAAATCACTGGGTGCCAGCGAGTAATCAGCATCCGGGACCCGGTGACTGACAGCGCGGCTGCGAATGGCGGCGCCTCCTACCCGGGAGTGCAAAATCACGTATATATACACATGATTTTGTGCACCCATGCTGCCCTGTAGCAGTACTGTATATCTTCTATAGTGTGGTTGGGAAGCAGTTAAAGAGAGCCTGCTACCAACTTAAAAAAAAAAAATTGCAGCTAAAAGCACCAAAAAATTAAAGGTAAAACAATTTTTCATAGTTTGTAGTTTTTCGCTTCAGACAGCTTAAAGTGTTACTAAACCCACAACAGTAAAATCAGTCTGTATATGCAGACTGTGTCCTTGCCCAAACTCAAAAAAGCCTATGAAAAAGGTACCAGGGGCATCTCATGGGGCCCCCTACTGACCCCGGGCCCTCGGGCAGTGCCCGAGTTTACAAATGGTCAGTCCGCCCCTGGGGTGAACTTATCCTTTTAAACACATTTTTATCCACTTGCAATGTACTTTTGAACTTGCTGGAGAATTTCAGCACCCCAAGAAAAGCCAATTCCCAGACACTATCACCTCCTCCCTTTTTTTTTTTTTGAAGGTCGTGACCCTCGTCCGTTCTTAATTGCAGTCTATGCTGACCCAGCTCCTCCGCCCCTCCCCTCTCTACATATTTTCTGTAGCAGCCAAAGAAGGTGAAACACATCACATGCATGAGCTCCTCTGTGTTGGTAAATGGTGATGCCACCCTCTGCCTGCACTGACTGGAGCAATTGGACACATTTACAAATCCGGTAAGACATCCTGAATACATTTTTATGTGTCTCTTTGGCGGGAGTCCTGCTTCATTTTTTTTTGCCCAAAACTTAATGGAAGATTATTTTCCTTTTCCTAGCAGAGCATGCAAGAACAAAGAGCGAGCAGAAGTAAATAACATTGGATTTTACATATTTATGACGACTTGTGTGTCTCGCCTGCAGTTTCCCGCTAACTACCGTCAAGGAGGATTTGTTGGGTATTTAATCTTCAGGAAAAGAAGGTGCAGCTTGGAGATAACCGATATTAGGATATTCTGATATTCACTCCCATCGGGGATCCGGCAAGATGGGATGGGGGGGGGGGGCGCTCTGTACAAAGGGGTGGACATGAAATGTCTCTCGCCCAGAGCAGTCACTTTATTACAAATCATTCTTCCTGGGCAGGATTGAAAGTAAATCTAGCTGGACTTTTTTTTTTTTTTTTTTTTTTTTTAAAGCATATCCATGTAAATGTAAAATTTAATACCAACAAAAACCTTTTCAATAGTTTAGAAATGTGAAACTTCCGTGGGCTGATGATGTACCAACTGTCCCCTGGATCAATGACATCCATGGGCTGCTCCGAAAGTCGTCACTTGCAGCAACATCCCCCCTTATTAATAATGTGTATTTATAAAAAAAAAATGCAGAACCTGAATGTTCATTCATTCTGTGAGAATGGAGACAAAGTCGAATACTATAAGGATCCTGCACTACTTTTCTGCAACTTTGGTGTAATTTGAGAGCCATATGTTAAATGTTAAATCACAAAAGTCCTAAGCAAGTCGCAAGGAAATCACAAGCAAGTCGCAAGTAAGTTGAATGGCTTTGGGGTTGCAGCAGGGTGAACCTAGCCTTAAAGCGGGCCCCTCTACGTTGGTGGTACACCGGGGCCCAATTGCTAGTGCAACCTTTGCGACCCTGGTAGTTCTGCCACTGATCCATGGTCACCCTCAGGGGAAGCAAAGGAAAGATGGGAAAGTGGGCTCCATCTAGTGACCATAATGTGGTAATTTCACAAGCCACTCTTTGTATATGAGAGCATCACATTTACCCTGTAGAGGAAAGAGAAGAACATTTAGGACCCTCCACACTGGAATGTGTTGCGGGAAAATTGCGTCCTCCACCGCCTTCTAATCGCACTGCCTTTGTGATCTGCAGTGGGTGTCAATACAATGTTAATGACACCCCAAACGCAGATGGCAAATGCAGTGTGTTTTCCCACATCAAATCACATTTTACAAAAGTACCATGCGATGCAGTTGCAGTGATTTTCAAAAAGTAGTGCATGCACTACTTTTGATGTGGTGTGGTGCAATTTCAGCCCATTCAAAATGAACAGGCTGAAATCGCACGGCACAGAACTGCATGTGAATCGCCATCTTTCCTGGACTGATGGGTGTCCCCCTTCTCTCATAGGAAGAGAAGGAGAGTGGACGTCATCAAGTGGCCATAATGTGGCATTTTTCCACGTCATTCTATTTTTTATGGACAGAAAAGTGGAAATTAAAGTGTATGCTCACAT